CTTTGCTGCCAAGAGACCTGGTGGGGCACTGGAAGGACACAGGTGTGTTTGGTGGGCCTTGTGCAGATCTGAATTCCTAAGGGGAGCTGATTGTGGTGCCCACATTCGGGGCAAGGCAGATGCGACCCCCCTTTGTAGATTTGACCCTGTGTTTGATGCCATGGGATTGTCACAGATCCCAGCAGGGGTTTGCATCCTAAGGGATCCTCTCCACAGGATTAGCAGGTCACATATATTATGCAGAGGAGGTGGTTTAGGATCTGTTAGATGAATAGCAGAGCTTGTGGTTTGTGATCTGTCTTCTGGGTAGGAGCACTGAAGGACAGAGAGGACAGAAAAAATGGGGGTTAAAAAGGAGCTGGGAGCAGAAGGGGACACCAGGGAAGGAGACTGGGCCAGGGAGAAGCTCAGCAGGAGGAGAGGAGGGTGGAAGAGGAAGGGAGCAAAGCTCAAGGGCTCTGCCAAAGATTAAATGGAAAAAGAAATTGCTGTGCAGCAGTTTCAGCCCAGAACAGAGGGAGCTGCACAGGCTCCTCAAGCTGCCCAAGTGCATTTAGAGCAACAGAAACACCAGGCTCTGACAGGGCCAGGAGACCCAGGCAGGTGTGGAGGGGGGAAATGGGGAGAGGAGCAGGCCTGGGGGAGCAGAGTCCCACAGACAGGGCACACTCCTGCCCAGCCACATCCAGAGTGGCACTGCCCTTGCTGCTGGTGCACGCAGCCCTGAAGGCTGACAGGGGGTTATATAACCCTTCCCGACAGCTCTTTCCTCTGCACCCAGCGAGGCTGAGGGAGCAGCCTGGGCAGCCTTTCCCCTGTGCCCAGAGGGACACAGCCAGCCTCAGCCTCTGAGACAGCTGAGCAGCACATCCTGCCCCACTGGCACCCCCAGGGAGCTGTGCTGGCTGAGCTGGCACCCAGGACATGGCACCAAGCCCCTCTGGGAGGCCACAGAGGCCCTTGGCCAGGGAAGGAGATGGCTGGATTTTGGGTTCTTGCAGAGAGCAACTGGTGGATGAAGCCTGGAGCATCACCCACATGTGGGAGCAGACACAAGGGATAACACACTGCAACTTTATGCACCTAACTCAAAATAAACTTTCTTTTTAAAAAAAACATATCTAAAAAGAATGATTTTTCACTTTCTTTTTTTTTTTTGTTATTATTTTGAAATTATAAGTTATTGAAAGACTTCTCATTACTCTCACAAATCATTCTCAGGCAAAGAAAAGGAAGAAAAGGCAGTTCTACCTTCAACAGTGCTTTGTAACAAAATGAGTCAGATTCATTTTGCTCATGATTTGCCCTTGGCTCCCTTTGTCCATGTCTTAAACTACATCCTGGCTTGGTCTGATTAGCAGCGTCTCCTCGGGGGCAGAGGAGGCCCTGCAGGAGCTGGAGGTGTTGCAGGTCAAGATTAAAGCGCTCTGCACGCCATTCAATGTCAAAACTATAACTGGCTTAACTCAGTGCAATTAGATGGCTCAGAGGTTACTGAGTAACGGCGGCAGTGTTTCAGCGCAGGTGATTAAAGCACAGCCCTGGCATTAAGGGATGTGATTAAAAGGCAGTGTCAGGGCTGAGACCTGGCAAAGGAGCTCAGCAGGCAGGGTTAAATCCACAGCTTCTTCTGGGGTTGGATACCCCAGGGCCTGGAAAAGAGCTCTTAAGTATCAGCTGAGCCAGCTCAGCTTTTAGGTCTGGAATGCCATCTTGTGATGGCAGTGGGGAAGTGGAAATGGCCTCTCTGTGGAATCATTGGAGATGATGGAATTATAGAACGGGTTGGGTCAGAAGAGACCAAAAAAGTAATTTTACTCCTCCCCCCCCACCATGGGCAGGGACACCTTCCACCATCCCAGGCTGCTCCAAGCCCCAGTGTCCAGCCTGGCCTTGGTTATTTCCAGGGATCCAGGGGCAGCCACAGCTGCTCTGGGCACCCTGTGCCAGGGCCTGCCCACCCTGCCAGGGAACAATTCCTGCCCAATATCCCATCCAGCCCTGCCCTCTGGCAGTGGGAGCCATTCCCTGTGTCCTGTCCCTCCATCCCTTGTCCCCAGTCCCTCTCCAGCTCTCCTGGAGCTCCTTTGGGCACTGGCAGGGGCTCTGAGCTTTCCCTGGAGCCCTCTCCTCTCCAGGTGAGCATCCCCAGCTCTCCCAGCCTGGCTCCATGGCTGCTCCAGCCCTGGGAGCGTCTCCATGGCCTCCTCTGGACTTGCTCCAGCAGCTCCATGTGCTTCTGATGCTGGAGCAGCTCTGCAGGGGGAGTCTCATAGGGACAGAGTAGAGGGGGACAATCCCCTTCCTCCCCTGCTGCCCACTCCTCTGTGAGGGCAGCCCAGTGCAGAGGGGTTTCAGGGCTGCACATTGTTGGCTCATGCCCAACTTTTCATCCATGATATCCTCCAAGTCCTTCTCTGCCGGTCAATGAGCTTTTCTCCCAGTCTGTGCTCATGCGTGGGATTGCCCTGACCTGGGTGCAGCACCTCAGAGTGCTGAATCTCCCAGAAGAGAAAAAGGCAGCATCAAGGCCATGGCTGCCCCACCACCTCAGCTGTGTGGGAGCCGAGCAAGGCTGGTGTCACTCATAGTGCAATGTGAGCCCAAACACCCACAACGCATCATCATCGCTGTCCCCAGCCATGACAGACACTGAGGGGACAAAAGTTCCTCTCATCAGAGCCCATCCCTGCTTGGCTGTGGGGCTGGAGGTGACCACCATGGTAAATGATGATGTACATCCACAAATCTTTTCTTCCATAGGCTAACTGAATTGTCTTCCTCTTCCCATGGTACTACTCTGTCTTTTTCTCCAGTGACTGACGGTGTGGCCAAATGGCGTAGAGCCAAAATCTGATCAGTAGGGAAGGAGCACAGTACCAACCCTGCAGTGCCAGAGCTGAAGGTGAGCAGTGATGTGGGGCAGGCACTGAGCCCTGGGCACAGTGTGGTGTGTTCAGGGCCGAGGTGACAGTAAAGGATCTCTCTTGCTGCCACAGAAGCTGCAGACGTCGGCTACACGGGGGGATGTCCCACCCCAGGCTTGGAGCACACGTATTTTGAAGCATTACAGCTCCATGCCAGTGCAGATCTCTTGAGTGGATACACTGTGCCAGCAGACAGTGCTCGTGTCCTGGTTTAACCCACCCTAATTTATGGGAGCCAAATCACTCAGATGTGATTCCTCCTTTATGCTGTAACTGAGCATTCACTCGACAGGGGTTACCCAGGCTTCTGGAGCCTGTTGCTTTGAATACAAGCTGCAGGGCTATGCTGGGATGCAGGGAGCTCAGGGGAGGCTGTGTCTAGACTAGAGGAACTCTCCTGAAGGCTAGCTGAGCTTTTGTTTTGTAATAACTCATATCTCTAATCTGGCTTGGAACAAAGCATCTCGGTCCCTTCAGGCCCCGCCACAACACTTGCAGGAGAAAAGGAGGATCTGTTTAGCTGTTACCAAGCCAAGATGAACAACAGGGACTGGCTGCAAGTGATACAGGGAGCACATTCCTGTGACAGAAAAGGGCTTCACTCCCATGGCAGAGCTGCTGTGTTTCATCTGGTTTCATGCTTTTCACCCAAAGTTCACAAATTATGTACAGGCCTTTGTTTGAGCCTCCCTCTGAGGCCAGCAAGCAGAGGAAAAACTGTGCACACAGAGGGAATCTATACTGGGAAGTGAGAGGCTGGTCTTGGCACTGAGAGCTGCTGAGTTCTGGTATTTGGCATTCAGGAAGCTTTTGAAGTCTCCTGATCCTGCCGAAAATGTCTTATTGAAAGAAACAAAGCATATTAATTTGGGCCCCATGCTGCGCTAATGAATTAAACAGCTTCCAAACTGAAGCTGTGGCTTAGGGTCTCAGCAGAGTCATCATCCATCCCTGCGTGGGCACGTGCCCTCAGCCACGGGCAGCGAGAGCCCCAGGAACAAGAGCATGAAGCACTCTGTGTCTGCTTTCACCCATCCCTCCACCAGCCAGCTTCTGCTGCACTGGGCATAGCTGGGAAACCTGCTCCTCAGCAGGTTCATCACTGACAGGGGAAGCAACGAACTCCTTCACCCAGCAGCAGCCTCTCTCCCTGCACGCAGACGTGTCCAGGGCACAACAAGCCCAGAGCTTCCCAGGACAAGGCAGGATCAGGCTGAGCCAGGAAGAAGCACCCCCACATCCGGGAAGAATAGCTGCCTGCATTGGGCTGAAAATAGACCATGAAGCGTTTGAAGAAGACAGAGCTGGAGTGGATGATTGCCGGAGGCAAGGCACAGCTCCAGCTGAGTTCATTGCTGAGCTCTGAGAGCATAAGCACATGAAGAGCATGGGGGAGGGATGCCAGGCTTTCTGGAAAGGCCTTGAAGTGTCTCACTGGAGCACAAAGCCCAGAGAAAAACTTCCTTTGAGTGGATCCCCAGCGAGGGAGGTCACAGTTACACTGCTGTGCCCTGACATGAATACACAGAGCACTGGGCTGATGTTAAGGCATCCAGTGGAAGCCAGGGAAGATGTGGAATTGTGCTTCTCCCAGCGAGGCACTTGGCAGCACTACAACTTTTTTCTCTGCTTATTTCAGGGCTGGTTTTTTTTTTGCTTCTGCCAGCTGTTTCTGAGCTGACACTTCTACCTCCTGTGCCTGAAGAGGGACACATGACGGGCAAGCAGAGTGGCAGCTCACCAGCCCTCTGCTTCCCGTGAGCTGGTGCTTGAGTTTAGTTCTCCCAGCTCCACAGATCCTGTGTTTCCTGCTCTGGCTCTGTCAGGGATGCTGGAAGTGTCCAAGGCCAGCTTGGACGGGGCTCGGAGCAACCTGGGATAGTGGAAGGTGTCCCTGCCCATGGCAGGGGGTGGGACGAGATGATCTTTAAAGTCCCTCCCAGCCCAAGCGCCCTGTGACTGATTATCGAGGGTTTTTCCCCGCCCCGGGGGGAGCGGCCGACGCGAGCGGGGCGGTGCCGGTGGAATCACCTCGGCAGTGCGGCCGCGTTTGGGCCTTTTGTGCCGCTGCCATGAGGGGAAGGAGCGGCTCCGGCGGGCCGGGCTCCCCCGGTTCGCTGCCATGAGGGGAAGGAGCGGCTCCGGCGGGCCGGGCTCCCCCGGTTCGCTGCCATGAGGGGAAGGAGCGGCTCCGGCGGGCCGGGCTGTTTTCTGCCGCTGCCATGAGGGGAAGGAGCGGCTCCGGGCGGGTCGGGCTCACTCGGCTCGCCGCCATGAGGGGCCGCCGCCGCCAATGAGGTGAGGAGGGCAGAGGGGACGGGTGGTGGCCGCAGCGGGGCTGGAGATCGGGGTTCCTGGGACAGAATGTGCCACCTGAAATACTCACTTTTTGTTACTTAGCTGTTTGTGCTGGCCGGCAAGCGCTGTGGTTCGCGGTGCCCCGGGACTGGGGGTGTTGCTCCACTGTGCTACTCAACAGTAATTCCTCAGCCTTTTGTTCGGTTTGCTGGCTTTTGTCCTCTGCCGCAAGCTGTTGTTGAGCTTTATGAATACAGGTGGAATTAATGGATTAATTTTGATGTTTGTACTGCGCTCTCTTTAGGCCTTCAGCCGATAGGGGATCGCGGTGCCCCGGAGCTGTGGGTGGCCGGGCGCCGCCCGAAGGAGCCCTGAGGTGACCCGACCCCGTCGTGTGTGAAAGCCGAGCTGTGCTGTGCTGGGACAGCCAAGGAGGCATCTCCAGGGGGGCACTGGAGCCTGCCGAGAGGAGATGTGAAGGGATAACCTGCCCGTGAGGCACAGGGAGAGCTCTGGAGCAACGTTGAGTGAGGTGTGACCATGAGCCAACAAGGGGAAATGGGCAAAAATTTGGGTTTTGCTGGCTTGAATTAACTAAACGGCCTCTGCTGGCTGCTGTGGCCTCAGGTCCTCGGGGTGGAAATAACATGGTTTATCCAGCGATAGCTTTAACTTATCTGTTCCTCTTGCTGGATGAAGCCCTAACGAGAGGAGGCATCAGCAGAGGGGTGCCTTCACCTTTTTTTGCACTGTAAACCCCGCAGTTTTGTTTGTTTTCTTCTCCCAGCAGTAGTCAGCTGCGCTGGCTGCTCGGTGCCCGTGCCAGTGTTACACTGCTGGGAGAGAAAGGTGCTGCTGAGCTCTCCTGGCACCAGTGGGGCCGTCTTGGCACTCAGTGGCGCCAGGTTTTGGCAGCACCGTGCATGCCAGAGAGTGGAGTAACTCCTGCCTGTGGAGTTAGAGCCTAGATTGGATGCAGACAACACACAGAAAATGGAAAATTCTGTTGCAGATATTTTAATGTGCATGTTTTATATAAAAATTAATGTAATCTAATTAACTGGTCAGTGCTAAGGGTTGATTAGGGGTCCTCTTTTCAGCTGTCTTTATTGGGTTTTTATTACAGGTAAATTGTTGGTTTGGGGCTTGCTGGAGCAGCAGGAGTGGTCAGAAGTAAAAGCTGTGGATGCTGCTTTGAAGATCCGTGTTAGAAAGGTATTGGGAAGATGGAAACCTGGAGCCCACAGTTTAAACGGGGCAGCTAGAGAAGAATTCGTTTTCAGGATGTGGATGTAGGAATTGGAAACATCAAAGGTGTATTAAAGGGCGAGATATAACAAGAATTATGTGTAAAATTTATTGTTAATCTCCTCTCAGTGCTTGTTTAAAATACATTTTTATATGACCTCAATTAAACATATTTATATTTAAGCTTGTTCAGTTTATTTTTCATTATCTTTCAAGGCTGTTGGGTGCAGCAAGGATTTGAGAGTGGTGTTGAATTCTTGTGGGGGACTGGAGAAGTTGTAGTGAGGCACCAACTCATCGCTCAGCCTGGGGGGAAGTGAGCCCACAAAGGAAGGTTGAGAAAGGCTGTAGAATATGTAAAATATATTAGAACTGGTGGGGAGGGGCAAGATGACCGACAGGGATTTGAACAAAAACTGTGTTTAAATGCAAAAGTTAGAACAAAAGATGAGGTTTGGATCCCTTTGGATTCAATGCAGGCTTATTGAAAACCCTGTGTTTTTTAAATAATTCAGACTCCTTAAATGTCCCTGACACTGTTTAGCCATGAGCCCTTCTGCTGCCTGAACATCCAGAGCTTTGAATGCAGCTTTTACACTGCACGTGGGAATACTTATTAAAATACTCAACATTAGGGAGGAAAGGTTTTTGCTGGTTTGAAGCCTGAGTTCCATTGTTTCTGTAGGAACAAATCCTACCTGTAAAACTAATCAAGGACTTTCCTGTGGTTTTATGTTGTGCCCAGCAATCTTCCTCTTTCCCAGGTGGGTGCCACAGGGCTGGCACAGGGCTGAGTGAACACTTACTGTGTCAGGGGGCTCTGCTGCTGGACCAGGTATTCCCAAAAGTGGCAAAAAATGGGGAATATGGGCTCTTTTGCCATTTACCCCATCTAACCCTGCCCTCTGGCAGTGGAAAGCCATTCCCTGTGTCCTGTCCCTCCATCCCTTGGGAATTACCTCTCCATGTTTCCTGCAGGCCCTGCAAGGCCACACTGAGCTCAGCCCAAAGCTTCTCCTCTGCAGGTGAACATTGCCAGCTGTGCCAGCCTTTCCTCCCAGCAGAGCTGCTCCATCCCTCTGCTCATCCTGGAGCCTCCTCTGGCCTGGCTCCAGCAGCTCCAGCTCCTCCCTGTGCTGGGCCCGGGGTGGGGCAGCTCTGCAGGTGGGGTCTCACCTGAGCACAGGGGCAGAATCTCCCTCCCCTGCTGCGGGACCAGCCCCGGGCTGGGGGTTCTGGGTGCTGGGGCAGGTCCAGCTTGGTGCACAACTGGGAAATAAGAAAGGGGTGTCCTGAAAGCTCTCCAGTGGTCAGCAGAGGCTTGGGGGTCTGGAGCTCAGGGTGTCACCTCTGGCAGGAAGGGACAGTCAGCACTATGCAGCTCCTGCAGTGCAAAGGCTGCAGATAAAGGTCAGAACAATTCACCTCAGCCCTGCTCTGGTGCCTCGAGCTAAGGACAGCAAAGGGAATTGGGAGAGAACCCATGAGGTCCGAGACTGGTGGTGAAATGAAGCCAAGAAATGGAGCAGGACCTGTGTTCGTACTCGGGAAATGTCAATGTGATTTACGGTTCTGCTGAGGAGCACCATTCATTTTGGAATCCGTATATGACTTCTACCAGGCAAAAGTGGCTGGATTGCTTTAGATTTGCTTTGTTTTTACTGCTCTGCAGCACCACAGCACAGGAGGATTGTTAACTGAGATTTATTGGCTTGTTTTTGAGCACTTAATTGTTTTCTTACCCTGAGCTTGTTAAGAGCTGGATTTCTTGTGATTGTTCTCTGAGCATTTCCATATTATTTCAGCACATATATTGTACCACTTCAATTTTTTAAAAATACCTTATGTGTTATTGTTTCATTGTGCTCTCCAGCCACTTACAGAGAAGAAAAATCAGCCCATGATGAATTGAAGAGGCAGATTTTTCCTTTCCCCTGGAGCTTTCCCTTAATTCACATAGGCACCCTCACCTTCATAAAGCTGCTGGAACACAGCGGTTTCCAGGCTAATGGAGAGACCAGTTCCTAAGCCACAAAATTAAATAGGGAAGAAAGATGTTGACTATGAAAGAAATCCAAATAATGAATAGTACTTGAGGGGTTGTATGAGTACTTTGGTCACAACTCGCGGATTTCAGGAGGGCAGCGGCACAGGGACCTCTCCTCATCGAGCACAAGGTGGCAATGTTGGATCAGAGGAATAGCACAGCCTCGCACATCGGCGGCAGGGCCTTTTTACCAGAATCTTCTAACGAGCCTCACAGCCAGCGAGAGCCCAGTTTTGACTATTTTAGCGATGGTGACACCAGCGTCGTGCTGAGAAGAGGGGCCTTACGCCGCGCAGGTCTGTGTGCCCGTGAGCGTGCCCTGGGACAAAGAGAACAGTGCGGGGACCAGAGGATACTCTGGATCCCCCGGATATCCTGGACACCGTGGATACCTTGGATACCCCGGGCACGCCCCGCGGCGGCGCTGCCGCTCCCCGGAAGCGGCTGAGGGGAGCCGCGAACCCGCGGGCCCGGGCCCCGCACTCCTCCCGCCGAGGGGCGTGGCCGCCGCCGCGCCCCGCCCCCTGCGCCTTCCCATGCTGCCCCGCGGGAGCGCGGACAATGAGCGGGGCGCGGGCGGCGGGCTGGCGGCGCGCGGTGCAGCGGCGCTCTCGCGAGAGCAGGGTGAGCGGCCCCCACCTCTCGCGAGAGCCGTGCCGGCGGCGCCTCCTCCCCGTCCCCATCCCACACCCCACATCCCTCACGGCGGGCGGGGCGGGCGGTCCCGGCCAGCGGCGGGAGCGGCGCGGACCTACCGGCGATACCGGATCCGAGCGGGGCGACCGCCGCCGGGCACGTGAGCGGGCGGGCAGCGGGCGGGCGTGCTCTCGCGAGCGCGGCGAGCCGCGCGCGGGGCTCGCGCAGTCGCCTCAATTCCTCTCTCCCTCAGTCCCGCCGTCCGTCCGTCCCCTTCCCCCGCCGCTGGCGCCGCACCGAGCGGGAGGCGCCGCCTCCGCCGCCGCGCTCCGTTCCCGCCGGCCCGCAGGTAGGAGCGGCGCCGCGCCCCCCGGCCCACCGCCATCTCGGGGTCCGGCGGCGGCCGCCCCGCCGTGAGGGGTGGGGGGCGAGGCGGGAGCGCGCGGCAGGGGGGGCGCGCGGCGGTCACGCGCAGGCCCGGCCCGGCCGGTGCCGCGGCCCCCGGGGCGCCCCCGCCCGCCGCCAGCCGGAACTGCGGCCGCGCCGGGCCCGAACAAAGCCCCGGCCCTCCCCCCCCGCCGCCGCCCCCCGGGCCCGGGGACTGCGGCCACCGCTCGGCTCCTCGGCGCTGTAGCCGGGAGCCAGCTCTGCCGCGGCCTCTCGTTGCCTGGAGCTCTCCCCTGCGCCCTGGCAGCGCTGCTGGCGCCAGCCGGGGCCTCGCAGGCGGCCTTGTTCCTCCCTCCTTCCTTAACTCTCTGAAAGCCGTTAGTCTAAAACCGCTGGTTTTGATGCCCATCTGGCCTTAAGAATTAATGAATTAAGCAACAAGAATCCTGGCAGTTCAGGCAGCCGTTTGACCTCTCTTTCTACTCAGTTTCACTCTCATATAATTCAGGCTGTGCTTACAAATCAAGCTGCGGGGATGTTTTTTCTTCCTGTGGTGGATTGATAACGTTCCACTTCTTTAATGTGCATACTCTGTTTCCAGAGTCAGAGTAATGAGATACAGAGTTCACCTATTCTGAAAACAAGCAGAAGTTGAAAAGAACTTTCTGGGAGCCTGAAAAACTGCTTTGTTAAATGATAAATGAGCCATTTACGCTTTTGAAAGAAAGCTGAACCATCCCTCTGATTCCAAATGTGTGGCTGCTTTTCTTTCCATGGTGCAGACCTTTGGGAAAAAAGTATCTGATAGTGGTTCAAACTGCTGAACTATCTTTATTCTTTTTACTCAGCCTTGAATTCTTCAGTTTTTTTAACTGTAGGTGGTCCTGACTTCCTGGAGTCAGATAAGTAGGGAGCAGCTCTGGCCGAAAATGTAAGTTTCTTAAAACAGTCTGTAGTTTCCATGGGGAGGAGAAAAGGGTGCATCTTCTGAAGCTTCTTTACAGAGAATCTATTGATCCAGTGATTTAATCTTCTCATATTTTGAAACATGGTAATAGATTAGTTTTCAATGTGCTAAAATGGTGAATCGTGTTTATAACACGTGGTGGAACATACTAACATTTTTATTGTATTCCCAAGAAATTAGTGAACTTCTGTTTTGAATTTTATCAGAAAAATTTCCTAAAATGATTCATTACTGAATTCTGAGTGACGATACTGGCACTCAGGCCTTGAATGTGTTTGTGAAGTGATAAGCCAGTGTTTGTACTTCTACATTATGCACTTGGTGTTACATACACCCTGGAACTAAATGGTGGGAAGAGAAATTCTTAAATATGTCCTTAAAATGTGGATATCCACATTCCTAAAGATAAAAAACTGTAAATCAATTAAGAGGGGGGAAGAAGAGTCAGTGTTGGGGGTCCAGACTGAAGTTTCATAGAGCTGTTATAGCCACTTGGTTTATTCAGGAGTGCACTTAAATAAAAACACTCATTAATTTGGGGAGAAATTAGGAGAGGCTGTGTGCTGCCCTTTGCTGTGACTTGCTCATGTCTCTGCTGAGAGATTTGGTGAATACAAAGGTATTTTATAATGTAATATTCGACTGGCTTCTGGGCAGTTCAGTAAATCTGGGGGAGAAACTGTTGCAAGCAGAGCTGCAATTAAATTATTTCCATTCGGTTTGTTAATTTATGAGTGGTTTTTTTGTAGCCTCAGTTCTGCTTCCTTTCTTCATCAGCTCTCTGAATCAACAAGTCTTGAAAACAAAAGCAAATACTTCACCATATTTCTGAACTAATTTACTTTGTGAGTGTTTAAGTACCATATTGTGCAGTCATAATTTCAACAAAAGAGTTTTTATTTTGGGCACTGAACCAGTGAAACAGTTCCTTGATTTTTCTCTGCAGCTAGAATACTTCTTGCAACCTCAAGCAGGATTTCAGCTAGGAAAGAAGAGGATTTTATCCCAGCCCTGGAAATGCCTGGAGGCAGAGGGAAATTCAGTTCACCAGATCAGAACACAGAACTGTTCTGTGTGAAATTTTGGGTGGTTTTTTTGTTTTTTGTTGGGGTTTTTTTAATGGTAA